GCGCTAGGCAGCCGCTGCATTACTTTGTTAACTTAGTGAGGAGGGTGTAGGTTGTAGGTTAGGCCGTTAAAATTCGGCGAAATGCTCTTGGAATTCGTGTACGCGTTTTCGTTTGGAAACCTCCGTACCGCATTTTATCGCATTTTCATTCGCGAGGATTTGGTGGTAAAATTGTCGGTTCTGAACGAAATCCAAGCCAAAGTATCGAAGTGAAATCCAAGGAAAACTCATACGTACGTAATGATGTATTATTTCGTACTTGCGTAATATTATCACGTATAAAAAGGCGTGATAATTTTTACGCACGTACGTAATAATCTATGATCTCGCACTTGCGTAAAATTATCATACCGTGATAATTATTACGTGCGTAAGTAATAATCTATTATCTCGCACTTGCGTAATATTTTCACGTATAGGCCTTACCGTGATAAATATTACGTACGTACGTGATAATTATTACTCATGTAGGTGCTGATGTGTACTCGTCAGGTACGTACCAATATCACGTACGTGACAGATATTATGTAGGTACGTTTTATTATCACGTGATATGCAATTAAATTGCACACGTACTATTATCACGTACATACGCATAATACAATTAAGTACGTGATATTATGACGTACGTGCATGTTACTATCAGCTCAGGTACGGACATGTACCTCGTATTATATTATCAAGTACGTATGCGATAAAAACATTACTACGTGTCATTATCATGTACATTATACGTATGTGATAATATCACGTATAGGCTACGTAACAAGAAAAAAATCTCCATGTCTCCTGTAGGTCTCCGTACCCACGCGATTTCGTGTACTGCGCTTCCAATAATTATTTTCGGTAATAAAATCTAGGGAAATGTTTAGAAGGGTGTAACGAACAGTGTTATTAGGGAAAAAGCATAGTCCGCTGCGAGCATGCGCACATTGAGCCTGCAGGCAGCGCGATGGGAGGGGCTGGGGGACAGGGAGGGGGTCTGGGTCTCCTGTACTTAGTCATTGTACTTAGTATTAAGTTCTACGCAATGGGTATACGTTTTCGAACGGATTTTCTGTTACAGATAACCCCTCAAATCCTCTAATCCTCAAAGTTCGTTCCGAAATTTTCTAAAAATAAGAATAAAATGCAAACGAAATCAATTAAAATTTAAATAAATGAAGACACTGTGCCTTTTACATCGTCAAACATTTTATATTCCCCCTAAAATTGAAGGTACTGGTGTATTTTTTTCAGTATCAGAAACTTTAATCGTAAATTTAAAACTGATTTCGTAATTGATTGATTGTGGTTTTGTGATATTTTATCAATCCACTGGAATACTGCCTTTTGATACGGACATTGGCTGGTACTTTGCACGCAAGAGATAACAATGCAGGTATATTGGTATCGGGATAGCTCTATAAAGTACCATTCCCTTTGCGTTGCTCATCTTTATGATTGTATTAATGTTCAAGACCTGGCAAATCTAAGCAATCAATACGGACATTGGCTGGTCCTTGTTCGTCTGACTGGAAACAAGAAATGAATGAGAACAAGTACAGACAGTGAAAGTTCTTTATGATTGTATAAAATGTTCTAGAGCACGAGGCAAGATTAACAATATCTGAGCTATCCTCAATACGAGGCTGATCCTTCATACTGTCGGTAAAAAGAGTTTATGTCAGAAGAAATTATTATTTATAAAAAAAACTCAGTTATCGAAATGTGTATTTTTCATTGTACATGTTGCATGCTTTCCACTTTATCATATCCAATTCTATGGTGCTTGCTCATGATAATGTGTATTGTATTGTGTTGCCATTGTGTATTGCTTTCTGTGTGGTCTGATTTTATTTGTTTTATTATCTCTGTCTCTTGTGTCTTTGATAAAAGAACAAGAACCAAAATGTTTTTAACAAACTCAATCGTGCGATCGTTGCGGCTACGAAAACGACAATCAGCAAAGCAAAATTAACGCAGATGTTGAAAAAAAATTGAAATCAGTGTTATTTTTTTCTCAACTGCAATACGTCGGGGAAAAAAACGGTCCGAAGCAGCAAAGATAACGACGAAAATACGAGACTTCTTATGGCGGTATTGGAAGAATTAATACCAGAAATCGGTGTTATTTTAACCATAACTGTAATGGTACCCGAAATATTTGACGAAATGAAGGAAAAAATCAAAACGGTCTAAACTCGCATCGTATGTGGATACATTATTTTCGTATAAATACTACTCAGCCTCTACCAGATGGCTATGAATATGACGAAAATTACGTCAAAAATCGAAGCGGCAAAAACGTAACGCATGTAAGAGAAATTAAACTTGACAGTGTCTTTCACACACACAAATGGGTTTCTGAAATACCCAAAGCAAAGTAGCGAAAATTAAAATGACGAAAATGATGGCAAAACTAATGCAAAACTTTAACAGCGGCCACGAAAGAAAATGTGTACTTGAATTCGCCGTTGATTTTCTTAATAAATTGACCGTAATGAAAATGACGGAAATTTTGAAACACATCCCATCTGCTGCAAATCAAAAAACAATGAAAATGTGTGATTTTCTTATCCCTACAAATATTTTCTTTTTAAAAATCGGTTACGGAAATACCCAAATTAAAGTGGCGAAATTTACAATGACAAAAAGTACGGCAAAAACCAACAGCCGCGTCGAAAGAGTTGTACTTGAAATCGATGTTAATTTCCTGATATTATTGGCCTATAAAAATGACGGAAATTTGATAAAAATCTAATCGGCTTCAAATAGTCGGAAAACGAATTTTTGCAAAACGGTGGGAAAACGACAGCAACAAAACAACACATCTTCGAGAAGTTTGGCTACAAAGAAAACTAATTGCAAACACCGAGGTATGAATCTGAGTTAGTGAAATCAACAACAAAAATGTGTGGGGGGAATGCTGTCAGACGTGCGACATGTTTATGGTCGCATGCGACATTTCTTCATGTTGTAACTTTCAAACTTCATATTCATCTTTTTTGTAAGTCCGATATAGAAAGATCGGCAGGGACTTTAAGGATAAAGTGTACTTTATCCTACTTATTTGGTTTTGACCTGTGATAATGCAAGTCCGATCATCAAGCATCGGCTTAGAATGAGGTTTGACATCAGTGTTGTTTTATTCAAGGATCAGAACAGAATCGTACGGCCAAAATAACAGCGCTGTGGTATTGAGTTAGCAATGACCTGCAATCATTGATAGTTTTAATATCATCGGGTCATGACTTCGCAATCAAATATTGATTTGTGCGGCTATGAACATACCGCACTTACCGTAATTTCCAAAGAAGTGAGACACGCTACACGTGTAGAGTCGCCTTGTGTTTAGAGTCACATAATAACACATTTCATTTTAGTGTTGTAATTAGGGCCGACGATGTAACTCTCCTTCCACCGTATGTTTAACGTAAGTCCGATTTGGAAGGAATCGGCAAGGATAAAGATTGCATCTTGAAATCTTAAAGTCATGTGAATTTCTTGCATGTTCGTTGGTGAGTTATTATGCGGTTTCCGAGGCAACCTGCACTTGTCGGCGTCGACACACATTTTTGTGTGCAGTGAAACGAATAATGTAGTGTGTTTTCAAAAGCAAAAATTGAAAAATTGAAGTAAACTTTGTAAGTATGCGGGTACAATCGTTATTTTCCACAGGGTGGTTAACCATGACAGCTACAGGTAAGCTGATAGATAGTCATTGGATGTACATTGTATAGTAATGTTTCACCTCAGTAACGTCATGTTACTGAAGTAACCAGCCTGGCCCCGTGTTTTCTTACCCCTGTTTACTGAGGAAAGACGTGCAGCTTTCATCGAAGAAAATGAGGATCTATAAGTGGAGATAGGATCCTGCTACGAAAATTGAAAACAAAATAATATTCATATCGGTCTGAAATCACATTGTATGTGGAAAATTCTTTTCGTAGAAATACTACTCCGCCTCCAACAGAGGCTTTAAAAATGACGAGACCGACACCAAAAATCGAAGCGGCAAAAATGTTCAGCGACCATGACATGGAAAAAGAAATATCTAAAAAAAAATACAAAATTAAAACAATCGACGCTAGTGAGATAAATTATACTCGAGAACAGTGTTATTTCGTACATACAAATAAATAAACAAAAATCGGTTACGGAAATACCCAAATCAAAGTGGCGAAAATTAAAAGTACGAAAATTACAGGTAAAAAAAATTGACAGCGGCGGTGAAAGAAGAGTACTTGAAATCTGTGTTAATTTAATATAAAAATAGAAATGACCGAAATTTTAATGAACATCTAATCGGCTTCAACAAATGGTCGGAAAGCGAATTTTGAAAACGTAAACGGTGCGAAAAACGACAGCAACAAAACAATTAAAATGGCAGAAATTGCGGGAGCAAAAAATAATCACCATCTCGAAACAAAGACAAATGTTAAAGTGACGGAATTTACGGCAATTACAGCGACATTAAAAACAATCTTCCCGCAGAACTACACATCATAAAGGTACATTCGGCTTAAAAATAACGGAAATTGTTGCACACTTTCGAGAAGTTTGCCTACGAAGAAAACGAATAGCAAAAACCGAGGTATGCATCTGTGTATGTCAAACTTCGTAAAATCAACAACAAAAATGTGTAGGGGTATGCTGTCAGACGTGCGACATGTTTATAGTCGCATGCGACATTTCCTTCATGCTGTAACTTGTCCAATTTCATGTTCATCATTTTGTTAGTCCAATTTGGAAAGATCTTTTGGTAGTCTTGCTTTGACCTTCGATAACGTAAGGCATAACATCAAGAATCGGCTGGGATGAGACTTAAAATTAGGGCTGTTGTACTCAACGAGGAAAAAGCTCAGACTCTTCGGCCAAAATAACAGCGCTGCGGTAGTGAAAGAGATAGCTAAATCCTGGGATCAGTTTTAATATTATCATTGGTATTGAACTTTCACAATCAAATCTTTGTGCGGATATGTGAATACACACTTACCGTAATTTAAAGAGAAGATATCTTAAGACATGCGACAGGTGTTTAGTCGCTGCAATACTTATTTCCTTATTTCCTTCCGCCGTATGTTTAATGTAAGTCCGATTTGGAAGGGATCGGCAATGATTAAGATGGTATTTTGTCGCTTCTAAGTCATGTGAATTTCTTTACTGTTCGTTTATAGTGCGTGAGTTATATGCGGTTTCCAAGGCAACCTGCCATTATCAGCGTCAGCACATGTCTGTGCATTCTGACAAATATTCATGTCTGTTTGAAAAGAAACATTCTACCCATTGGGTAGAATCGTTTAGTTTCCATTGGGTCATAACCATGACCTGGTTAGGTAGGCTTAGACATAATTATTGGAATGTTTCACTTAGTAACAAATGGGCTAGGCCCAGTGTTTTCTTACCCCTGTTCACTTAGAAAAGAGTTGCAGCTTTCATCAAAGAATCTGATGATCTAAAAGTTGAGACTAACTGGATGAGCTAGGCTGCTTTGTCTGGACGAAAATGAACCCTCCAAGGCTCCAACAGCCTCATCACACAGAAACTCGAGGAACCGGAAGCAGGGAGGAGGACCGACAGATGAACGGATGACCTGCTTGCCGGGCTTCTCATTACTGATTCTTGAGGTTAGTTTAGACGTACTTAAAACTGAACAGGAGCAAGCAAGTCACAGAAACTAATCAAAATGGGTGATCTGGCTGTCTTTTATGTAATCGTGGTGTTGCTTTGTGGGGTGAAATCAAAGTTTTCTTTCCCTCTCTAGCCCTACCTTGCACAATATTTCTAAATAATAATTCAGATATTTCCTTTCGTTATTTGAATCCATTTAGAGAAACGAGGACCACTAACTGAAGAGGAAATTGCTCTACTGAGATGAGGATGAGCCTGCCTCAAGCCGTCGTAAGCTGGGAGGACCGACGGTTCACTGACTGTGCTGGGCTGGTCATTGCTGATTCATGAGGTGAGTTTACTTTGAAAACGAAAAGAGACGGGATATGTAAACTTGAATTTGCTATTCCTTTGATACCATGTAAGTCACTCCTATACAATACGCGGTGCTTGATTTCCTCTTTAAATATAAATTCTAAATTTGGCTTGTTTACTTTCTTTGTTATGTTTTAGAAGATGAGTACCACCAAGCTTGGACGAGACTGGACAATGACGAAGCTGTATCTGGACAAGGAAACCTTCACAATTAACTTGCAGAATATTGGATCAGAAATCAGACTGCATTTTTTGCAAAGTCAGTAATATAAAACATAAAAACGACGAAAATACGACTTTTTACGCCAAATTTACAGCTATATTGGAGGAAATAACTGAAATCAGTGTATTTCTTACCGTTACTGCGTTACTTACCCGAAATATTTGACTACGTGTGTTATGTGACGAAAATTTTTAAACAAAAATGAAATCGGTGCAAAATAAATTACTGCGAAAGTCACATCGTACGAGGATTTTCTTCTCGCAGAAATCTGCTTCCTACAGGTGGCTTGGAAAATGAAGAAAAATCAATGCGGCAAGAAATTAAAGCAACGAAACATACGGCCAAAAGAAAATCACAGCGCTATTGAGAGAATAATACCTGATTTCAGTGTTATTATTCTTACCTACAAAGTAAAAAAAAAAATCAGTTGCGAAAATAACGAAATTAAAGCGACGAAAATTACGGCAATGAACCTAACAGTGGTCGAGAAAGAAATTTATACTTGAAAATCGGTGTAAATTTTTGAAACTTCGATGTCATGCGAAAAAAAAATGGCTACAGAAAAGTGACTGAAATTATGATGAAACAATCCTGAAGTTATGATGGGCAGCAACTACCGGTACTACACTGCTTCAAAAAGTCGGAAAGCGAATTTTGGCCAAACGGCGTGAAAAATGACGGCAGCAAACAAAATTAAATATGACGGAAACTACGGAAAACATCACATCATTATGACCATATCGAACAAGAGCATGACCGACTTTCAATTACATCGGTATTTTAAGGCATTTTTCCCCGCTGATCTGCACCACATTTTTAAAGTATATTTGTCAGCGAAATAAAGAAAATTAGTGACATCGTCGAGAAGTTTGCCTTCAAAAGACCTAACTTCAAAAGACCTCACTTAATGTGACAAACAAATCGATTTAGGAAAATGGCCGACTTACGTATAAGACGTGCGGCATTTCTTCGTGTTCTTGTAATTGTTTCAATGTTCATCTACATCATTTGTGTAAGGCCGATTTAAAAAATCGGCAGAGATACATGTTTTCATCAAGTCTATTGTATTTGGTTGTCTTACGTTGACATTATTTTGATAACGTTAAGCCGGCCATCAAGCATCGGCTTGGAATGAGACTTGATCTCAGTGCTGATGTATTCAGCGGGAAAAAACTCGGAAACTAACTGCCAGAATAGCAGCGCTGTGGTAGTGAGTTAAAGCTGCAGGTTAAAGACTAGTAATTAGTGATATTTTTAATATCATGGGTTTATGACATTGACAATCAAATGGGTGTGTGGCTATGAGTATACCACACTTGGGCCTATACGTGATTTCCTAAGAAAGTATTAAGACACCGACACGTTTACGGTCGCATGAAATAACATTATCATTTTTGTCTAGTGTTACTGGGGTTTTTTTGTAATTAGGGCCTATAACCTCCTTCCGCCGTATATGTTTTATGTAAGTCCGATTTGGAAGGGATCGGCAAGGATAAAGATGACATTTTGTCATCTAAAGGTCATGTGAATTTCTTTAATGTTCGTGTGCAAGTTACATGCGGTTTCCAAGGCAACCCTGCCATTATTAGCGTTGGCACATATTTTGTGTGCATTGAAATGAATAATTAGTCTGTGTTTGCAATTAATAATGAAAACATTGACGTAAACATTGTAACCATAGAATCGTTGGTTTCCATCGGGGTCAAAATCATGACCAGGTTACAGGTAATCTTAAACATAGATGCATTGTAATTTTGTCACTTCAATAACAAAATTTGGCTTGACCCATGGATTTCGCACCCCTGTACACTTGGAAAGATTGGCAGCCTTCATAGAATATAAGGATGTGAAAGTTAAGTGGAGACAGACTAGGCGAGGAGGCTGCTAATTTCCCAACTTCGGCACTATGCAAAATGTGGCCACTGAGCTACAGAAAAAAACTGACGGAAATTATGATAACATCTCATCGGCAGCGAATCGGAAAACTAATTTGGAAAAACCGTGGGAAAAATGACAACAGCAAAACAATAAAACGGCGGAAATTACGGCAAAATTATGGCAAAATTTCCAGCGGTGTTAAAAAAGAAATGAATAATCGCCGTGTCGAACCAAAAAATATTGGACAAAAAATAAAGAAAAAAATCAAGTCGGTCTAAAATCACATCGTGTGTGCATAAATTCTTTTCGTAGAAATACTACTTCGCCTCCAACAGATGGCTATGAAAATGACGAAAATTACATCAAAATCAAAGCGGTAAAAACCGTTCAGTCACAATATAGGCGAGGAGGCTTATTTCCCAACTTCGACACTATGCAAATGTGGCCATGCTACAGAAAAAACTGACGGAAATTATGATAAAAGCTGATCGGCAGCGGATCGGTAAGCAACTGCAACACGGAAAACTAAAACGGAAAACTAAGTCGGAAAACTAAAACGGTGGGAAATGACAACAGCAAAAAAATAAAACGGCGAAAATTACCGCAAAATTACGGCCAAATTACGGCAAAATTTACAGCGGTGTTAAAAAAAGGAATGAATAATCGCCATGTCGAACAAAAAATATTTGACGAAAATTGAAGAAAATGTCAAGTCGGCCTAAAATCACATCGTATGTGGACAAATTCTTTTGTATAAATACATGTACTACTTCGCCTCCAACAGATGGCTATGAAATGACGAGAATTACATCCAAAATCGAAGCGGCAAAAACGTTCAGTCACAAATATATTTCCCAACTTCAACACTATGCAAAATGTGGCCACTGAGCTACAGAAAAAAAATGACGGAAATTATGATAACATCTTATCGGCAGCGGATCGATAGCAACTGCAACACAGATTAAAAAAAAGACGGAAAATTACAGCAAAACAAATAAAACAGCGGAAATTACGGCAAAATTACGGCCAAATGTACAGCAGTGTTAAAAAAGAAATTAATAATCGTATGTCGAACAAAAAAATATTTGACGAAAATTGAGAAAAAAAAATCAAGTCGGTCTAAATCACATTGTATATGGATAAATTCAACTCCATATGTATATGGATAAATTCAACTCCAACAGATTGCTATGAACATGACGAAAATTACATCAAAAATAGGCGAGGAGGCTGCTTATTTCCCAGCTTCGACACTGTGCAAAATTTGGCCATGCCACAGAAAAAACTGACGGAAATTATGATAAAATCTTATCGGCAGCGGATCGGTAGCAACTGCAACACCGCCAGCCTCAAAGAAAGTCGGAAAACTAATTTTGGGAAAACGGTGGGGAAAATGACAACAGCAAAACAAATAAAACAGCGGAAATAACGGCAAAATTTACAGCAGTGCTAAAAAAGAAATTAATAATCGGCATGTCGAAAAACAAATATTTGACGAAAATTGAAAAAAAAAAATCAAGTCGGTCTAAAATCACATCTTACGTGGATAAATTCTTTCGTAGAAATACTACTCCGCCTCCAACAGATGGCTATGAAAATGACGAAAATCGAAGCGGCAAAAACCGTTCAGTCACAAATATAGGCGAGGAGGCTGCTCATTTCCAACTTCGACACTATGCAAAATGTGGCCACTGAGCTACAGAAAAACTGACGGAAATTGTGATAAAATCTTATAAGCAGCGGATCGGTAGCAACTGCAACACCGCTAGCTTCAAAAAAAAGTCGGAAAATTAAATTTTGGAAAACGGTGGGGAAAACGAAAACAGTAAAACAAATAAAACAGCGGAAAATACGGCCAAATTACCGCCAAATTACGGTAAAATTTACAGCGGTATTAAAAAAATTAATAAATAAATAATCGCCATGTCGAACAAAAAAGTCGGTGAACAAAATGACTGGATTTACGGTAACTATACATCGTCATTTTTAAGACGGTAATTCTTTTTTCCGCAGAACTATTTACGTGTGCAGGATGCATTAGGAAAGAATACTGCATTAGTGTCGACACATTTTGTACATTATGGGCGGCACGTTGTGTGTGCATTACAACAAAATAATCGTCTGTTTTTAAAAGAAAATCATGGAAAACATTGAAATAAACATGCATGGTAAACACGGGTAAAATCATTAATTTCAAAGGTTTCAGGTAAGCTTATATATTAAACATAGTTATTGGCTGCATTGGAATGTTTCTCTTCAGTAACAAACGGGCTAGGCCCAGTGTTTTCGTACCCCAGTTCACTTAGGAAAGAGTTGCAGCTTTCATCGGAGAAATATGAGGATCTAAAAGTGGAGACAGACTGAATGAGCTAGGCTGCTTTGTCTGGACGAATAGGACCCTCCAAGGCTCCAACAGCCTCATCACACAGAAACTCCAGGAACCGGAAGCAGGGAGGAGGACCCACAGATGAACGGATGACCTGCTTGCTGGGCTTCCCATTACTGATTCTTGAGGTTAGTTTACAATCAAATAAACTTGAGCAAGTCGAATCAAAATGGGTGAACTTGAGCTCTTTTGATGTTTTTTTTTCCCACAAAGAAAGAGTATTTGGGGTGGAACATGCTTTGTTGGATTAATTCAAGGTTTCTTTCCCCTTTCTATACTTTAGAAGAGTACCGACAGACATGCATATAGAACTGGCTGGATGACGAGGTTGCTTCAGTCGGTGAGGATGAGATCATCCATGCAGACAAAACCTAGGAACCGGAAGCAGGGAGGAGGACCGACAGATGAACAGATGACCTGCTTGCTGGGCTTCACATTACTGATTCTTGAGGTTAGTTTATAATCAAATAAACTTGAGCAAGTCGAATCAAAATGGGTGAACTTGATCTCTTTTGATGTTTTTTTTCCCACAAAGAAAGAGTTTTGGTTGTGGAAACATGCTTTGTTGGATTAATTCAAGGTTCTTTCCCCTTTCTATACTTTAGAAAAGGAGTACCGACATACATGCATAGAACTGGCTGGATGACGAAGCTGCTTCAGTCCGTGAGGATGAGATCATCCATGCAGACAAAACCTAGGAACCGAAGCAGGGAGGAGGACCGACAGATGAACGGATGACCTGCTTGCTGGGCTTTCCATTACTGATTCTTGAGGTTAGTTTATAATCAAATAAACTTGAGCAAGTCGAATCAAAATGGGTGATCTTAAGCTCTTTTGATGTGTTTTCCACAAAGAAAGAGTATTGGTGGTGGAGCATTGCTTTGTTGGGTTAATTCAAACTGTCTTTCCCCTGTCTATACTTTAGAAAGGGAGCATGGATGACGAGTCTGCTTCAGTCGGTGTGGATGAGAGGATAAGACCCCAATTTCAAAAACATCATCCATGCAGACAAAACCTAGGAACCAGAAGCAGGGAGGAGGACCGACAGATGAACTGATGCCCTGCTTGCTGGCTTCCCATTACTGATTCTTGAGGTTAGTTTATAATCAAATACACCTGATAAGTCGAATCAAAATGGGTGATCTTGAGCTATTTTGTTGTTTTTCCACAGAGAAAGAGAATTGGTGGTGGAGCATTGGTTTGTTGGATAATTCAAACTTTCTTTCCCTTTCTATACTTTAGAAACGGGAGCACTGATGGATGGCTGACGAGGCTGCTACAGTCGGTGTGGATGAGAGGACATGACCCAATTTCAAAACATCATCCATGCTGACAAAACCAAGGAACCGGAAGCAAGGAGGAGGACCCACTGATGACCCTGCTTGCTGGGCTTCCCATTACTGCTTCCCGAGGTGAATTTACTCTTGCAAGGAAAAGAAATTAATCTCATAAGACTAATCACCTGACAATTCTTGATGTGTTGTCGCTTAAAACGAGTGCAAACTTAGGTCGTTATTTTTGTTTTGTTTAAATCATAAAGGACCTTCTGCAACTGAACCAGATGGATTCTGCAACTGGATGTAACATGCTTGACATAGAAGAGAGTCTTACATGTTGACTTTAAGAGGATGAAGCTTCTCCACAAATGAATGCCGAGGAACCAGAAGCTGGGAGGTCCGACAGATGACCGACCCTCCTTGCTTAGTAAGACATTACTAATTCTTGAGGTGCAAGAAAGAGACCAAGGTATGAGGAGTTCAATTTGTTTTCCTTTGATACTTTGTCCCCCTACAAAGTATACAATGCTTGATTCCCTCTGTAAATATAAGTTCTAACGTTTGTTTGCCTGCTTATGCTGTTTGTCATGTTTTAGAACATGAGGACCACCAAGCTTGGATGAGACTGGACAATGACGAAGCTGATCTCTTATGGACAAGGATGGTCTCATCAGAAACCAAGAACCGGAAGAAAGAAGGAAGGAAGACCAACAGATGAACTGATGACCCTGTTTTCTGCGCTTGCCTTTACCAATTCCTTAAGTTAGTTTTACTCAAGGAACAAGGAAGAATAAAAAGTAAAATTTAGAGGAAGTCTCATTTACAGTGAACATTTTGCGTGTTGGCGGTAGTGCTAAAGCCCCATGCCAATTTGCCAATGAAACAAAAACACTGTTGCCATTTAACTTGATAGGGCATTTCTTTTCTTCAAAGATAACTAATTTAAGTAAATACAAGAGTTTTAAACACTTCCCAAAAAATTAGGATGTTTGAGAAATTTACAAATTTAAGATGTCCATGTAACTAAAATGGGTTATTTTCTTTACAATTTTAAATCGATTAGAAAAACTCAAGAATTTTATACATTTTGAAAATTAAAGAATCACTGGGAATTGTTAAGGAATTTCTATGTACCAATATGTTGGAAAATTTAAGGACTGTTGAAGACCTCTCCCCCTCACTTTTATTTCACCTACCTTAAAAAGTTTAAATGGTTCTTCTTTTTTCCCCTCGGAAAACTCCTTAATGCATTGCAACAGGTTACTGGCACTCAGATTACATTGTGTATATCCTTTTGTATTGTCTGTTTAATTGCACGTTTTCACTACTAACTTATTTTATTTTGTTTTGTTCACTTGGTGTATTTTGGTGGCTTTGCATGTCTTTTTATTTTACTTGTTAAATTAACCCACAAAAGGATAAACGCAATGTATACCGAGTGCTGAACTTGCCTCACCAAAAATTGTGTTCACATAATAGCCAAATTAAATAAGATAAAAAGTGCTGAAAATATTTCAAAACATGATCTCTTTAAGTATCTAATTTTTTAAAGTGTGGGGGTGGGGGGGGGGAGAGATATCCCCTAGCTTTTATGTTCCTTTTTGGGTTAAACAGATCAGGTGCCATTTTAATTGGTTTTTGGAAGCCAATAGGCCTATAGGAGCATCTTATAATAATTATTTCGATTTGTTTGGAAGCAACTAAGTACGGACATTACTTGAATAAAACATTTGGGTACGCCAACAATTCTGATAGTTGAATGCTAAGACTTAAATAAAGCTTTTAATACAAACAAAAAAAATAGAAAAAAAAAATATTAGATGGTATTAAAGCTGGTCCTTTTTTTGTGAATTAACAAATTAAACAATCTGAAATAGTTTTTGTGGAAAATTGTGAATTTTTAATTTCTCAAACTGTTTCCTCATCTGGAATTCGTTATCAGTATTTGTTTTGTAAGGAATTTGTTTAAAAACAATTTGTATGTCAATCAGGTGAAAAGAATAAAAACTGAATGAAATGAGACCATTAATAATCCTCAGTAGATTGTCATTTGTTTTTGTCTGTAATTTTTTGTATTTTTATTTCAGTGGTTGGGGAGGTCAAGCTATTACTACAAACGTAAAAAAAAAAAAACTGACATAACATTTTTAAATATGGCAACTGGAGACGGGGTGCGCACATGATATGATATAAAGGGAAGATAGAATACACTCTAAGACAAGAAACAATTCTTTCGGCTCCACCTATAATATTTATTATTATAGTGGTGTTCCCTTATGTGGCGCACTTCAACACTTCCGTCGACTGTGCCGTGAAATTTAGTCCAAAATTCAAAAACAGTGGCGTCCGGAAATTGGGCACAAATTCGGCCGAGTGTTCCCTTCCGTGGCGCACTTGTACAAATCTCGGGAAATCCCATGTTAACAGTTTAGATCTTTTGTTATCGTTGATAAATTCTGATAAATCATTATCTTCACTCGCATACCCAAGTACAAAATTGTCAGAAAATTATTTTTCTTATTTTGTTGGGGCGCATTTTGAAAGGTTTCATTGTGCACTTCTAAATAAAATTAAACAATCACGCCAAAATAGAATATCTCTGGAACTTTGTAGCAGCCATACATGTGAACTCAAAATTTATGAACGGGAATGTTTAGGCCTAGAGCGGGATGAAATTACACTGACTTTGAAATTTGTGGTAAAAAGTTTGGTCTAGCAAGGTACTTGAGGCGTAAAATCAAAGTGAGCCACATCAGGGGCCACGCCCTGTTAGGGTATATTCCTTCCTCCATGGGTACATCAACAATACTATGAAGCTTGTCCGGAGATTATTGCCCCCCCCCCCCCCCCCGACTGGTATTGCTCGGATATGGCGTTGCCCCAGACAGTTTCTCCTTGGCAATAGTCCTCTATATATTTTTAATATCTGTCACCTACCACTTTCAGATATCTACGAGTACTTCAACGGGTACAATAAATAGAGGGCGCCATATAGCTTAAACGGCCCCTACTCGACTGTCACAATAATTAATAGAGGGCGCTATAACACTTTAACTGAAGTAAAGTTGAAGAGCGTAATTTAAATATATTATCGCTTTTGCTCTTTTTGAAAACGACTAGACTCTTGTCGATCTATTAATTGTCATGCCAACGACCGTGAGAAAATGGCGGTCGCATATCGGCTAATATTAATAATACTGATTGTGTGGTTTAGGACACCTTACATAATCGCCATTATTACTGTACAACAACTCGGGCGATAAAAGTGAGAGAATCGTAAACTTCACATGGTCAACATGTCATGGAAAACTATGCATTAAAAGTAGCACTCACACTAGTCACAGTTTTTTGGGTTTTTTGCCATTTTTGTTGATACAGTTGCTCTCTTCTGCACTATGCTATTACTAATGGCTATTATGCGCCTATCAATTATTGTTTCCCCCACCCCTCCTCCCCCACCCGGGCTGCCCCACCCAAGACGTTGGGATTGTCACTTTTGAAGTGACAAAATCCCCACCCCTCGGGCAAAATTTAAGTGACAATCCCCGACCATGCCCCGACATACATACGTGGGGCGTACTAGTAAATGCGTTTCCATGTAGCACGCCAATGGTAACAACAGTGACCAAAATCCCCACCCAGGGACATGAAAAACGTGACCAAATCCCAACATCGGACCTGCATGGGGCTGCGGGGGGGGGGGGATTTTTTTAACCAGTTATCCTGAATTGTCGACTAGACTATACTAGTCCAACCATCATCGACCTGCGTGCGTTCGATCAGGGTTAGTCGAACTATCAGACGGTGGTCCTTTATCGAACTTGCCATTAATAAAATAAGATAGAGGGCGTCATAACACTTCAACGGCCCCTCTTCAAAAATGCTTCAATAACATAGAGGGCGCTTTATCACTTCAGCCCTTCGGGTTACATGTCCAACACTTATCTTCCCCCAGGCTAATCACATTATTTTTGGGTGCTTCATTATAAAACTATTTCTGTTAGGTATTTTGTTGCTACATTAACTAAAATATATTATGCAAATCCAACAGAAACTTTAAACGAAAGCAGAGGCTGTCAATAGGGCATTAATTTGCAGTAGGTCTAGGTGGACGTGAAACAGTCGAAGCTGAAGGTAAAAGCAACTAAAACAAAAGAAATTTGAGAAATACTTGCCGAATTGAAGTCTACATTAAAGTCCTGTTCAATAGAGATTATAGAGTTTAATAACTACCAAATTAACTCGAATGTTGCCTGTTCATGCTTGTCGACTATATCACTGTTAGACTTTTAACTTAAAAATGGATTCGAATGTCCAATTTCAAAGGGGGAAAAAAACAGGCAACCAACTCAGTAAAAATGCCATCTCGGGAGAAAAAGGCCCGCACACACGCGTATTATTCCTTGAAGATGATCTAGGCCTACTAAAACAACAGAGCAAGGAACAGATGCTCTGCAAATGTTACAGATTGCTTCAAATGAGCAGGAAAGGCACGATAAATTCTCATTGGAATGAAAAGAAAATTGATCGGCCAATATCTATAACAAACCTACTGAATATAGAGCGGAAATGCTAATCGTCAATATTAAAAAAAACACTAAAATAACAGAACTAACTTCCGTATCCTTCACCCCGATCACCAGTTAATGTGTTATGGTACCCTCTGTATAATCTGCAGAAGTACGAAGAGCTGGCGGGACTAGCTGGAAACTAGTCTAAGCTCAGACCGTTCAAGTGAAATGGCGCCCTCTATTTTATCTGTACCATTTGAAGCGGGGCGTGGGATTCGCTCGTACCCCCCGCCCGCCCGGGGGGGGGGGGGGACTAGCGAAGGCGTGGGAGAGACCGTTAAAGTAGATTAGCGCCCTCTATTTTTAGGTAAAGTTTGAATGGGACCGTTAAAGTGAAATGGCGCCCTCTATTTTATCTGTAACGTTTTTAATGTGATCAGAAGCGTGAGAGAGACCGCTAAACTAAAATAGCGCCCTCTATGTTTCCTGTAATGTTTGAAATGGGACCGTTAAAGTGAAATGGCGCCCCCTATTTAATCTGTATCGTTTAAAGCGAAAAGAGATTGATAAAGTGAAAAAGCGCCCTCTCAATATCCTCCCCCTCCAAATTTTTTTTCGCGATTATCATTAACAAATGCAGTCCAAACCAACGAGTCCGTGCCAAAATTCGAGTACAAGAATCAAGTTCGGGCCAAGTCCAAATAAATTTTGAGTACTGATATTCGAGTACGGGCCGAGAACTTGCGTGTATTTGCGTGTACTCGAGTTGTACTCGAGTACGAGTACGAGTACTCCAACACTGATGTTTATTAAACGTATGTAGTATTATTGCATTGAACCTGTTTCAATTTAATTGATTGCATTAAGATACATATAAGTACGTAAAATGTGTTAGCGTTGCAAATCACTGTTATCAACAGTTAATAACAGTTGATAATTTTATAAACTCATTTCCAGGTCGCCCTTGTCTTTGCATTATTTGGGACCACTCGGGTCGCGTGGTCTTAAAGTAGGGAACCTGTAGGGACTAGGGAGACCGAGTGCGCCCACAGTTTCTGTATGCCTAAAAGTTTTGCAAGTGATTTGCATGTTTCCATTAAACACTAAGGGCAACCTGTCTCAGGATGCAGTGCACTAATTCAAGTGAGAATTCCTACGGGAGCTCATTAGCATAAAAAGTGCCACCCCCCCCAAAAAAAAAACTTCTTTTGAAAAAGGAGACACAGTTTGGCTTTAAAAACAGTGGAATTGTGTAAATATAGCCAAGGATCAACTCCCTGTTTTGGGGCTTCCATCTGAGGGCAGGCTTGATAAAATCACGGTTGAAAACGGGTCCTATTTGCCTGAGAAAGTGGAAGGATGCCACTTGTAAAAATGGCTACATGCAGGTTGGGAACTGTCACTTTTCGGGAGGTGATTTTGTTTTGGTGTGAATATGCAATTGGCTAGTCAACCCAAAATGGAAAAGAAATGAAAACATGAAGGACAAGACAATAATGAAATTTTTGTTTGAGAAATCCCAGTGATAACGACTTGCATTTTATTTGGCCCTGAACTTTGTTGATTTTACACTGTTTTTCAATGGGCTTGTACAGGCCTTATATTATTTTCTGAAGTTTCCTAGTTGA